AGGAAAGAGTCAAGGGGCTGAGGATAAAGGGGGAGCCCAAGGAGGTGGGATCTTGTGAGACTTGCTTGACCAGCAAGTTTTCACGGTTTCCCTTCCATTCGGTGGAGGGGAAGTCGAGTGACCCGGTGGAGCTCGTGCATGTGGATCTCGTGGGACCCATGAAGGTGAAGGGAGATGGTGGGGCCCTGTATTCTATGACCATGGTGGATGACAACACAAGGCTCACCTGGTCCTTTCCACTTTCAAAGAAGAGTGATGCTGCAAGGGTCATCATTGAAGAGTGGCTGCCCATGGTGGAGCGAGAGAGCGGCAAGCGGGTGAAGGCGATACGTAGTGACCGTGGTGGGGAGTTCTTGGGAGCGGAGTTCCGGAGCTGGCTGAAGCGGCATGGCATCAAGCAGCAGCTCACCACGGCCTACACCCCTCAATCCAATGGCGTGGCAGAGAGAGCGAACCGGACCATCTTGGAGGGCGGGAGAACGATGTTGGTAGACTCGGGTCTACCCTTACGGTTCTGGCCCCTCGCTATTCGCCATGCCACCGTCATCAAGAACCGAGTATTGACTCATGTGGGAGGGCAGCATTGGGTCCCTATGGAGAAATGGAGGGGCAAGAAGCCTCTGGTGGATATGCTTCGAGTCTTTGGGTGCATGGGACTCGTGCACGTCCCTAAGGAAAAGCGTGACAAGCTTCAAGCGGCGGCGGTGTGGGCTGTTCATTTGGGACTTGCACAAGGGAGCAAGGGGTGGCTCATGTGGGACCCAATAGCCAACACCATCTTCACCACCAGAGATGCCAAGTTCATGGAGGGGCTCATGTTCAAGGAGTGGTTGGAGCGAGGGAGGAGCAAGGTCACCATTCCGCTCGGAATAGAGGTGGGAACGAATGACCCACTCTTCATTCCCATCGAGTTGTCTTCGTCTTCAGAGGTAACGGAGGTGTCACATGACTTGGGAGGTGCTGAAGGGGAGGCAGTAGAGGTGGAGGGAGTGTTGCAGCAAGAGAAGGCCCCTGTAGCTGAGAGAGGTGATGCCGAGGAGGAGGTGCAGCAGCCTACACCATCCCCTACTCTTCCACCAAGGCGGACAACCCAAGGGAAGCGTGGTGCTGTCCGTGGTGGAGCTAAGGAGAGTGCAGCCAAGGAGAGGCCCAAGAGAGCTGCTCACCCAAGGGATTTCCTCAAGTATGAAAGGCTTGGGGGTCCCAAGGCATTGCTGGTCCAGGAGGAGGAAGATGATGAGGAGAAGGGAGCCGAGGGAGAGATGGAGCAGATTTGTTGCTTCGGTGTCAACTTACCTCATGAACCGGCTTCGATGGAGGAAGCACTTGCTGGAGATGATCGAGAGGCTTGGTTGGCTTCAAGGGAGGATGAGTTTAAGAGCCTCATGGAGAATGGAACGTGGACCCTCACCAATCTGCCCCCGGGAAGAAAGGCATTGGATTGCACGTGGATATTACGTGTGAAGACCGATGCGGAGGGGAAGTTGGAGAGGCGCAAAACAAGACTTGTGATCAAGGGTTTCCAGCAGAGGGAGGGGGTTGACTTTAAGGAGGTGTTTGCTCCTGTTGCCAAGGCTCCTACGCTCCGGGTGTTGCTGGCAGCAGCTGCCGTTTGTGGTTGGAAGGTGGAGCAAATGGATGTGAAGACGGCTTTCCTCTATGGCGTGGTAGATGAGGAGATTTACATGAAGCAGCCAGAGGGGTACGACGATGGGAGCGGACGTGTTTGCAGGCTCAACAAGGCCATCTATGGCCTCAAACAAGCTCCAAGGTGCTGGTATGCAAGGCTGGTGGAGGCATTGGAGGCTCTTGGCTTCAAAGTTAGCGGGTGCGACGAGAGTCTCTTCATAACCGAGGGGGATGAGGAGAAAGTGTTTCTCCTTGTCTACGTCGATGACATTCTCCTCTTCTCTCCATCCCTGGAGAGGATCAAGGAGGTGCAAGGGAAGCTGAAGGAGACCTTTCAATGCAAGGCCCTTGGACCAGTGGGGTATTACCTTGGTCTTCACGTGGAGCGGGACGTGGTGAAGGGATGGTTGAGGCTTCACCAACACAAGTACCTTGCAGCCATGGGGGAGAGGTATGGGCTGGAGGAAGGGAGGAGTGTAAAGACTCCACTACCCTCAGGATTTCAGCTACACCTTGATGAAGAGGAGGGTGAGGTGTTGGAGCCCGAGTTGCAGCGTCGGTTCCAGTCAATGGTGGGGAGCTTGATGTATGCTTCGGTCAACACTCGCCCCGATATTTCATTCGCGGTTTCGCAGCTGGCTCGTGTGGTGTCTAGGCCCCTTCAAGAGCACCTTGATGCAGCAGAGAGGCTGGTGAGGTACTGCATGGCAACCTCAAGGGTGGGGCTGCAATATTCAGTGCATGGGCAGCTGAAGCAAAAGGGAGTGGAGGAGGTGAGCACGAAGACCGGTGCACCTGCAAGGCGTGGACACTTGTACCTCTCGTGCTTCACCGATGCTACCTGGGCAAGTGACATCAGTGATGCAACATCCCACGGTGGCTATGTATGCTGTGTTGGAGGGAGTCCAGTGAGCTGGAAGTCTAAGAAGCAAGGGGAGATAGCTCACTCATCAACGGAAAGCGAGTACATGGCGTTGTTTCATGGGGTGAAGGAGGTGGTTTGGATGAGGAGGTTGCTTGAGGAGTTGGGGCAGGAGCAAGAGGGTCCTACACCTGTGTTTTGTGACAGCCAAGGAGCAATTGCAATGGCTCGCAATGCTGTGCTCCATGGGCTGAACAAGCACATGCATATCAAATGGCATTGGGTGAGGAAGGAGGTGAAGAAGGGCACGGTCTCCTTGCACTACATCAACACTACCAAGCAACCTGCAGATTTTTTGACGAAGCGGCTTGCAGAGCATCAGCATTGGACCTGCGCCACCTTGTGTGGCATGTCCTTCAACTAGGGGAGGCAGCTTCAGGGAGCAGCTAAGGGATGAATGAGAGCACGATGAGGGGGAGTTTGTTGTGCCAACACATTACAGTGGCACGGTCATCGCACTCCCATTCGGCCTACAAGCCTGCTCAGCTTCTGGAATTTTGTGGGGAGGTTGTTCAACACGTTTTTTTCAAACCCTCAAAGTTTCAGAGTTTTTGAAGCAGTTACCAAGGCATGACAACATTTTATGTTTCAAGACTTATGGCATCCCGGAAGTGTGTGTTACTCCTTTTTGGTAACACCCGAGTTCACCATTTCGGCTGCTGACTCGTCTACAGAGATCTGATTGGTCTGAAATTCGGTCTAGCAGTTCTTTGCCCCGCTGTGCAAGTGGTCACCAAGTTTCAGAACGATCCAACATCTGAGCATTGCGTGACAGCTGCCGAAATTCACTGTTCCGTAGTCATGGTGCACTGTTGGCAGCATTTCCCTTGCCACCCTTTCATTGTTGTCATGCCAATGGTGCAGGGACAGAGAATGAGACAAGAAGTACAGGTGGTCAAGTGGGACTCTATAACGCTCCTTTTGAGAAGTGTGGTCTTCCTGGAAGCAACTTGCAAGAGGGTGCAAGTGGGAAGACAAGCTGACTCATGTTGGCTTGACTCACTATTGGTAGCCTTGAGTACAGCTCTGAACATCCAAGTGTGGTTGGCTTTGCTGACCTAGCTAGGACGTTTCCCATTCTTCTCTAGCCTTTCTCCCCTAGGACTCAACCTTCTCTGAGTTCCCAGGATGACCCAACCCCTTATGAGTCCCCTAGGCAATGTTGTACTCACCTCTTCCTTGCATCAATAAGAATACACGTTTTTTCAGCCGAGCTTACGTTTTCGTTCACTGCGTAGTGCACACACCTCTGATAATAGCAAGTAATATACCGTTGGAAAGCAGACACCTAAGGCTAACCGCTGTCCAAGTTTCAGCCTCGTATGTTCTCGGAGCTGATCGTGACGGCGTTTTGAACAGAGGCGGTTTGAAGACGTCAGATTCTGCTTAGGCGGTTTCATGGGCATCCGCGACCCCTAAGTGGACTGCAGACTATAACAGAAACTAGACTCATGCCACGTGTGACTGTCCATGCGTGCACGCGTGGCAGGTGCGGTGGGGCGAGATGTCGATGGTGGGCGCGGAGAGGTGCCTGCTGGAGGCTTTTTTTGAGGCGCCTCGAAACTAGACTCATGCCACGTGTGACTGTCCATGCGTGCACGCGTGGCAGGTGCGGTGGGGCGAGATGTCGATGGTGGGCGCGGAGAGGTGCCTGCTGGAGGCTTTTTTTGAGGCGCCTCGAAACTAGACTCATGCCACGTGTGACTGTCCATGCGTGCACGCGTGGCAGGTGCGGTGGGGCGAGATGTCGATGGTGGGCGCGGAGAGGTGCCTGCTGGAGGCTTTTTTTGAGGCGCCTCGAAACTAGACTCATGCCACGTGTGACTGTCCATGCGTGCACGCGTGGCAGGTGCGGTGGGGCGAGATGTCGATGGTGGGCGCGGAGAGGTGCCTGCTGGAGGCTTTTTTTGAGGCGCCTCGAAACTAGACTCATGCCACGTGTGACTGTCCATGCGTGCACGCGTGGCAGGTGCGGTGGGGCGAGATGTCGATGGTGGGCGCGGAGAGGTGCCTGCTGGAGGCTTTTTTTGAGGCGCCTCGAAACTAGACTCATGCCACGTGTGACTGTCCATGCGTGCACGCGTGGCAGGTGCGGTGGGGCGAGATGTCGATGGTGGGCGCGGAGAGGTGCCTGCTGGAGGCTTTTTTTGAGGCGCCTCGAAACTAGACTCATGCCACGTGTGACTGTCCATGCGTGCACGCGTGGCAGGTGCGGTGGGGCGAGATGTCGATGGTGGGCGCAGAGAGGTGCCTGCTGGAGGCTTTTTTTGAGGCGCCTCGAAACTAGACTCATGCCATGTGTGACTGTCCATGCGTGCACGCGTGGCAGGTGCGGTGGGGCGAGATGTCGATGGTGGGCGCGGAGAGGTGCCTGCTGGAGGCTTTTTTTGAGGCGCCTCGAAACTAGACTCATGCCACGTGTGACTGTCCATGCGTGCACGCGTGGCAGGTGCGGTGGGGCGAGATGTCGATGGTGGATGCGGAGAGGCGCCTGCTGGAGGCGGCGGTGCAGGACGAGGCCAACAGCTTCTTCGCGCTGCTCAGTGAGAGGTGGGGAGCGAGGTGAGAGGTGGGGAGCGAGGTGAGAGGTGGGGAGCGAGGTGAGAGGTGGGGAGCGAGGTGAGAGGTGGGGAGCGAGGTGAGAGGTGGGGAGCGAGGTGAGAGGTGGGGGGCGAGGTGAGAGGTGGGGAGCGAGGTGAGAGGTGGGGAGCGAGGTGAGAGGTGGGGAGCGAGGTGAGAGGTGGGGAGCGAGGTGAGAGGTGGGGAGCGAGGTGAGAGGTGGGGAGCGAGGTGAGAGGTGGGGAGCGAGGTGAGAGGTGTGCCCACGTGACGGGCCAGGGGGCAGGGGCGAGGGAGGGGCAATGGGTGAGGGGTGAGTTGTGGTGGGGAGGCACGATGTGTTGCTGAGGTGCATGAGTAGAGGCTTCTGTCTGTGAGGGGCGCCTTCCCTCTCATGCGAGGCATGGCTGCTGCACCTCTCACTCCCTTGGCGTGCTTGCTTCACACTCCTGCCATCCACCCATGCACGTGCCACGTTCCAACACCAACCGCCCTTGTGTTGCTCAACCGTGGCCTCTATCCCGGGGCGCAATCCCCCATTCCCGACTCTCATTCATAACGTGTTTCCCTTATATCCCACGCACTTGTGCCAGAACCCTTCCTTGGCTTACACCCAAAGCCCCCCATTTCTCTCGTGCCCCGTTCGCTGCATGCCGTTTCCCCCCAAGCCCATTCCCCTGTGGCGGGCATCACCTGCATCCCTCAGTGGCCCTTTTCTCCATGCCCTCTCTAATACCCTTTCCCCCCTGCTCTTCCCGCGTGCCCATTCCCCCCACACGCCTCATACCTGGCTGGGCGGGCAACAGCTGCATACCCTTGTGGCCGTTTGACTATGTGTACAGCTACATCGCCTCCTCCTCCGCCAGCTTCGTTGACGCGTCAGTGCCGCTCTGCCCCTCCAGCCCTCTCCTCCTCTTCCCTTCTGCCACCCCCTGCTGCTCTTCCTTCTCTTTTCGGCGATGTTGTGTGTATGTGTGCACATCCACTGTGAGTGTCACATGGCACGGATGTGCCTGCAAGGATGCCACATGGTTGCCCAACGGCTTGATCATGAAGCATGACGCCGCCCGCTTGTGCTGCTTCCCTGATCCGGATTCACCGCTTGTGCTGCTTCCCTGATCCGGATTCACCGCTTGTGCTGCTTCCCTGATCCGGATTCACCGCTTGTGCTGCTTCCCTGATCCGGATTCACCGCTTGTGCTGCTTCCCTGATCCGGATTCACCGCTTGTGCTGCTTCCCTGATCCGGATTCACCGCTTGTGCTGCTTCCCTGATCCGGATTCACCGCTTGTGCTGCTTCCCTGATCCGGATTCACCGCTTGTGCTGCTTCCCTGATCCGGATTCACCGCTTGTGCTGCTTCCCTGATCCGGATTCACCGCTTGTGCTGCTTCCCTGATCCGGATTCACCGCTTGTGCTGCTTCCCTGATCCGGATTCACCACTGTGTGCTCCCCCACTCCCTGTCCACCGCTGGCAGGTACGCGGACCCCTACAGCACGTCGTTCGGGCGGTACATCCCGCATATCTTCATGCCCGTCATCCGCCGCCACCAGTTCCTCAAAGGCAACCAGGTGCGGTGCTGTGCGGCTCACAGGCAACCAGGTGCGGTGCAGTGTGGCTCACAGGCAACCAGGTGCGGTGCCACTCAAGCCAGGTTTGATAGAATGCTTATTGTCTTGTTCTACATGTACTTAGTGTACCTGTTTTCGTGTTAGGCGCAATGCACACTCATGTATTATATTGTTGCTGTTCTTATGTGTATATCTGCGCCATGACTCCAAAGTTATGACATTTAAAGAACTGTGTGTGCTCCTGTCATTGCCTTGCCTTGCATATCTTTCACACTCTGATTTCATTCGCATCTATGCGCATGCATGGCACGTGTTGGATGCACATCACCGAATGAACTCCCATCCCATCCCACCACATCACACCGCGTGGCACCGCATGGAGGCAGTGGTTCATCTTGCAGCGGCGGCATGCGGAGGCGGTGGTGGGGGACACGCTGCACTACGCCAAGCACAACCTCAGCTGCGCCGTCAGTCCACCCCCTTTTTCCCTGCCCCCCTTCGTCTCTGCGTGTTACAGCCTCCTCCGTTCCGCTGCTATTCTAGATCATGCGGGCCGTGACGACCTCTCCCTCACATGCATCTTCTGTTGCTGTCCCGTGACCAGCCCTCTTTCATGACCCTCGCATGCCCCATGCACACCTCGTCTCTCATTTTCCGTCTCCCATCCGTGTGACCCCTGCACCTGTGTGCGTGTGTGCAGTTTCGGTTGCAGTGGGGCAAGCTGTGCTGTGCGGATGAGCATTACATTCAAACCTTCTTGCATGTGGGTGTCACGCTCCACACCCCCGCTCACTTGATTCGCTCGCACCACCCATGTGCACTCTTGCAGTTGGAAAGGGAAAATCGCTCTTCTAAGAGGCCCTTTCATGCATGCATGCATCGACCCGCTCATGCATCAACCCCCTCATGCCATCTCACCCACGCCCCACATACCATGGCCCCCCTCCCCCTGCAATGTCTCCCCTGCCACGCTCCTCCCTGCATTCTCCCCCCCACACCACGCCATGGCCCTCCCTGCCATGCTGCTGCGCAGATGACAGACCCACGCGGCATATCGCGCTACCCCACCACCTTCACGGACTGGAGTGCCAACGACTGGCACCCCTCACTCTACCTGGGCGCCAACATGACAGACCAAGTCATCACCACCACCAAGGTCCCCTCACTCTCTGCCTGCCGCCTGTCACGCACACGCCTCCTGTGCTCTCTGCTGCTTACATGTCCACCCCCTCTTGCAGCCTGCAGTAAATGCTATGTGTCGCTTGCCATCTGCTGTGTCATCGATCCATCTCCCTGGAATTCCAATGCCCTCAACGTGCCATCTCCCCTCGCCACTGCCCTGCGTCCTCCTCTCTCCCGGCACGCCTGCGGCAGACGGCAAGGCAGTTCATCACGTATCGCTCTTTCTGGCAGGACTTCAAGTCCAACTACTCCCATGTGTGTGCCGTTCCCTTGTATGCGTGTGTGTGTGTTGCCTTTGTATGTATGTGCGTGTGTGTGTGTGCCGTTCCTTTGTTGGCATCATGCATGTCTTGTTGGCATCATGCATGTCTTGTTGGCATCATGCATGTGCGTGCAGTGCACCAATGGTTGGGTGCACCCGCCCTGTATGCATCTCAACTCGATCCACACAATATGCGTCTTCCTTCCCCACCCATCCCACATCTCCTCTCCACTCCCCCGCCTCCTGTTATGCGCCACCCCCCACCATTGGCCCCTTCCCTCCCATGTGCGCTGCACTACCCATGTGCGCAGATAACCAACCCCTCTGCACCGCAGCCTCCTCTGGTGAGTCCTCCGCCACCCATCCACACACTGCATGCTCCTCCCTCCGCGCCTCTCCTTCTCCTCGCCCGCACGTAATTCTCCCTTTCCCAAACGGCCCATGAGTCGACTCAAAGCTCGCCTCTCCCGCTCCCCGTCCACCCGTGAGTGGCTCTCCCCACCAGGCGGTGGGCAACGGGCATTGTGTGCTGGGGGGGGAGCCGCGCAACTGCTTCCTCTTTGCGCGCAAGTTCCACCCCTCCACACTGCCCTTCCTCATGCGCAAGTCCCAGCAGCTCCTCGGCTTCTAGGGCTGCCCCACCCAGGCACCTCTCATTCTGAGTCGGCTAAGAGCATCGGCTGCCTAGTCGGACAGGCACCTCTCGTGCCTAGAGAGTAGCCTGGAGCATTGGAGTCATCACCATTTCCTGGTTGTATGTCGTGTAATGATCTAAAATGCTTGGTGCTGCGATGCAATGTCTATGACAAAGCACGTGTTTTCATGTGTAAAAGTAGCATCGCCTGCGTTTAATGGCCCATTTTCTAATTGGCTGCCAATGGTGGACACCTCATGATATAGCTCAACCGACAAGCGAATCCGCCCGGCGGACCCTGCTGCCCGCGGGCAAAAGAAATACCCATTCGGACTTTCATCCGGTTAGGGAGGCATCAACCCTAAACACAGGGAGGCATGTGTTTAGGGTTGATGCCTCCCTCGGATGGCAATAGGGTTTTAGGCCTTTTCTGCCCGCCGGTCAGGTCGACGGTGGTTGACGGCGTCGACTGCCGTGGGAGCCTGTCTGGTTGAGACACTCCTCTGGATGACAGGGTGAACCATCCTCAGGACACGGCGCACAAGGCATGCACATCTCCAGAGTCTGGTTGGGTGCTATGATCCATTCATTCCTTGCAATAACAAGCAAACCTCAGTGTACAAGATACAGTCTCCCAGCAACTAATCAAAACACTACAGGGACCCTAGTCCCCTTGCAAATCTCATGGCACCCACATCTATGTCACCCTACACACCCCTCCCCTCCCCAGGCGTACACCTAGAGCAACCACTCCCCCTCATCACTCCTGGAGCCAGAGCGAGGGCTTGCCGCGGCCTCGTCGGAGGCGGTCAGCGATGAGGAAGGCGAGCTCGAGGCTCTGGGAGGCGTTGAGGCGCGGGTCGCAGTGCGTGTGGTAGCGCGACGACAGGTCGTCAAAGGTCACCTCCTTGGTGCCGCCCACACACTCCGTCACGTTCTGCCCCGTCATCTCCAGGTGCACTCCCCCTGGGTGTGTTCCCAGCTCCTCATGCACGTCAAAGAACGCCCTCAGCTCCGCCTGATGGGGACGGGAAGGTGATGGTCCGGGAGGGAGGTTGAATGAGCGAAAGAGCATGAGCCATGGGTAATCCAAGCGTATTGCTGTGTGGTGCCTTGCCTCGTGTGTCAGGCCGAGGCAATCCACCTCCAAAAAAAAAGCTCACACGCATGGAGACAACTGCAGATGAGCACGCGCACGCACGCACGCACGCACGCACGCACACACACACACATATACACACACACCTACACACAATCATGCACACACATTCAAGCACACACACACACACCCCCACCCCCCCCTGTGGCTCACCCGGATGGAGTTGAAGTCGCGGGTCTTGTAGCCGTTGGGAGCCTTGATGGTGTTGCCGTGCATGGGGTCGGACACCCACGTCACCACCAGCCCCTCGCGCTCCACCGCCTGCACCAGCGCCGGCAGCTTCTCGCGCAGCTTCTCCGCGCCCATGCGCACGATCACTGTGAGGCGGCCGGGGCGGTTGTCGGGGTTGAGGATGTGGCACACCTCCACCAGGTCCTGCGGGGGCATCTTGTCACTCACCTGTACCGTGGGCGCAGAGGGAGATGCAGCCAGGATAAGACGCAGGTCGAGAGAATAAGTGGTTGGGGGTGTATAGGGGAGAGGGGATGCTTTGGAGGCACTGGTGTGTACAGGGTCCACCCCACCAGTACTGGCACTCCACTAACGGCAGCACGGCGCACCACTGCAACTGCCAACCAGTTCCCACCCCCAACACATTCTCGCATGGGACTACCGCTGCCGCTGCTGGGTGTGGCATGAAAGCCTGTTAGAGTGAGAACCCATGTGATAACCGAGTGCATGGCATGGCAGAGCGTGCGCACCTTGATGCCGAGGGGGTTGGCGACGCCGCGGAGGAACTCAATGTGTGCGCCGTCCAGCTGCCGTGTGCGCTCGCCCACCCAGATGAAGTGCGCCGAACAGTCGTACCTGGTGTGATGTGGGGTGAGGGTGGCGAGGGGGGATGGCAGGGAAGTGTGGGGACGATTGAGAAATGGGGCGAGCAAGGGAGAGCGGTTCAGTAAGGGGTGATGGGAGCTACGCGTTGAGGTGCCTCTGGCGAGTTCTCTCAACCACCCAGTATGACGTTCACCTAGGCAGTGGCAGGGGGGAAAGGGATTGACTTCAAAGAGGTCAAACGACGAGCGACAGGCTACGGAGGGGAGAGGAGTGACAGGAGTTGGACTTGGGGCCACTCCAGTGCGCACCAGAGCTCCGCCAATGCCAATCCAACTGACTGTTCTCACGAGGCAGCAGTTGCACTGGGACCACGCGTAGCATCCTCGCCACATCCGATGCGTTCATACTAGGAGGTTGAGGGGTTCAAGCAGGGGGCGTGAGGAGGCGCGGGCGTGGGGCAAGTGCAGAAGACACGCGCGGCAAGTGAGGAAGAGGCGGGCGGCAAGTGAGGAAGGGGCGGGCGGCAAGTGAGGAAGGGGCGGGCTTTAAGTGAGGAGGGGGCGGGCGGCGGGTGGCGAGCGGATGGGTTGGGTGGGGAGGGGAGCTGACCAGCGGCCGGTGGTGGAGTCGATACGGGTGAGCGCCTGCTCGTAGGGAAGCAGCAGGCACTCGTGCGACGTGAAGAAGTCGGTGGAGCGCATGCTGGGGTGCTCCGCCGTCAGCCCGCACGCCGCCATGAACCCCAGCGCCTCATCCACGCGCGACGCCAGCTCCTCGTACCTGCCACGCGCGCGCGCGGCCAGGGGAGAGAGGATGGGGGAGGAGGAGCGGAGGAAGGGAGAAAGGGGGGTAGGAAGGGATGGTAGGGGGAGGGGGAGAAAGGGGTCTTAGGGGATCACTCAGAAAGTCGTTCTGAGAAGGATGTGAATGGAAAGTGGATACGTGCACATGATGGCAGTGGCAGTGGAGCCAAGGCTGTGTCGTGCAGTGCGTCTTCAGCGCATGCTGTCGCGACTCAAACGCACGCTGGCGCGCTGTGCCCCGCGCACGCTGGCGCGCACCGTATCACACGCTGGCGCGCTGTGCGGGTGAGCAGCCAAGTGGTTCGTAACGATGACACGTGCAAGGCGCGGCTTTGCCAAGTGAAGTGGCGAGCGACAGGCTGATGCCCTTCGCCTCCTCCACCTGTTCAATCTGCGGACCTTTGGGAAGGAAAAAGGGTGACTTCACTCGCATTCATTGCAACGCGAGGCACACGTTCTTGCAACGCGTCTCGCCCTCCCAAGCAAGCAAGGACCAGCGCCACCTCGAATTCAATCAGCGTCGTCTATTTGTGGTTCGTTCAGCTCACAGCACGGCCTCGTGTCCCCGTTAAATAAGGCTACTAGCAGCCCCCCTGGATGCCTGCCGGCTCACCTGGACGTCTGGCATCTCCGTTTCGAGAAACTCTGGCGAAGGTGGCAAGAATGCGCATCGCGATAACACAAACCTTGACTCAGGGGTTACTCCCGCGCGCCGTTACTATCGACCTGCTCGCAGACTCAGCTCGAGAATACCGACTCACCAAAAGGTCGGTGCAAAGCAACAGCTTTATCCAGCGCAAGGCGCCAAGGACTTGCCCAATCGCAAGCTCCAACAACTCACCTTGAGGCCTGCTCCTGGTTCTCCATGAAGGCGAGCTCCCACTTGCTCACGCGCTCCATCGCCGCGTACCCGCCCGTCGCGAACGCGCGCAGCAGGTTCAGCGTCGCCGCCGCCTGGCTGTACGCCTTCACCAGCCGCTGCGGGTCGGGCACGCGCGACTCGGGTGTGAAAGCGTCGCCGTTGATGTTGTCGCCGCGGTACGACGGCAGGCTCACGTCGCCGCGCGTCTCCAGGGGGTCGGAGCGCGGCTTGGCGAACTGCCCCGCCATGCGCCCAACCTGCCCTCGGAAATGGCGCGGGGGGAGGTGGGGGGAAGGGGGAAGGGGGAATGAGGAAGGGGGAAGGGGGAGGGGACGGGGAGGAGGGGACGGAAAGAGATTCTGGATTAGAAAGGGGACAGCGAGGAAGGTGGGGCAGCGACAGATTGGGAAAAAGGTACAACTTCAAATCAACTATAAGCCCATGCAGTGTACTAGAGGTATGATGAGTCACGAGAAGGCCGCTGCGATGTCCGCGGTGCTGCCCGCGTGACGGCACGAAAACGCGACGACCGCGTGAACGTGAGATAACCGAAGCGGGAGCGCCGAACCACCAACGGAGAGTGACTAGGGACAAACGAAGGGCTGCAGACAACGTTGGGTTCTCCTCATATTTTCGATTCACCTCGCACGCCTTTGTCTTTTGCTTCTCCGCATCATTCCCTGACAACGAACATCCACGCGCTTTTCTTGCCAACTTCCGTCTCTGCACAAACGACCGTCCTCTACGCGCGTCTGACACTGCTGGCCGTTATCTGCGCGAGCCTGACCTTGATGACTTTACGACGGCATCTCACCTTGACAACGACATCTGCGCGCGCCGTAAAAGATGACGGAATCGCAGCTTGATGACGTCAGCTCACCTCGGTGACGTCAGCTCACCTTGATGACGAGAGCTCACCTTGATGACGGGCATCTGGCCGCCGAAGGTGAGGACGACGGCCATCTGCAGCAGCACGCGGAAGGTGTCGCGGATGTTGTCCGCGCGGAACTCCTTGAAGCTCTCCGCGCAGTCGCCGCCCTGCCGGAGGAACGGGGAGGGGAGTCAATGAAGAGGGGGAGGGGTAAGTGGCGGAGTCGATTTAAGGCGAGCAGTCACAAGAGGGAAACAGAGGAAGCGGGAAGCGATGGGACAACGACGGAGATCCAAAAAGGAAGGAAATATGACACCTTTGGCTGATTGACACTTTCAAAAGAACGTGACGGATCGAGGGTGCTGACCAAAAGAAAAGACGCGGCCTTTGACAGTAAATCCCTGCTCAAGCTCAAGCTCGCCGACTCGCGGTCGCCAGTCACGTCCTCACCTGCAGCAGGAACGCCTTCCCCAGAGCCGCCTCCCCCAGCTTCTCCTCCAGCGCGCGCGCCTCGCCCGCGAACAC